TCAGAGCTGTACAACATACCTCTTTTGCTGAATTCTTCACACCTCTAAATGAAGAGTATGATACGAGTTTTTGCTCCGACTATGAGGAGAACGAATTCGATCGTGGGCGAAGTCGAGGAAAGAAGAAGACAACAAATAGCATCTCGCCAGAGGAGACTGTATCTCCGTCATCTGAAAGCAGAAGCTCGCTATCCAGAGGTGCACCCCGTTCACATTCCGAACCCCTCTAGGCTTTAACATCTGGTTTCGTTCATTCATTTCGTTAGAGTGGTATTCAACTGCCGCTTACTTTTGTAGAACCTATCAAACCATGTGAAACCCATCTGTCCTTATGTAAAAACCTACCCGGTCTGTTATTGTATTTATTTGTATGAGCGATTGATTTTGTTGATAATTTTATAAATATGCGATATCGCTGTTTTTGCTGCACTCCGAACTTCTTAGCAAAAGATAGGTGCTTGATCTACCGCTCTTCGACAAGGCACCTTGCATTTCACGTCTCCCTGCATGGTAGAGATTGTAGAAAATCAACCGTTCTTATTCCTTTTTAATTTGCAAAACTAAACGAATGCACTACGCGTTAGCCTACCTTACCAATTTCAGGAAAAAAACGTACGTGAGGTGTTAATTGTTATGTTGTGTGAAAACGATGAATTTCATCTTATCTTATAAACGCAGCGCCACAAGAAAATCTTGTTCTTTAAGTGTTTTTCTGTATAGTATGGTATAGTGCATTTGCAACAGCCAATCAGTGTATCGATCTACTGGTTTGCGCAATATTTATTTAATTTAGCATAGATCAATGTTGATTTTAAATCATGCTAATTTCATTGTACGCATTTAACTTTTACACACATCTACATTTTGATTGTGATCCTCACGAAAGAATTATGTACTTTGATCCTTGGCTATTTTTTATCAACTGCGCACTCACTTCTTACTAGGAAGAGTCTCAAATGTGTCATCAAAGTAAATAACTAAGCAATGTGTCTGAAATAGTAATAGCATTTTATACGACTTTCCAGCTAGTACTAACACTTTCAAACGCGCAGTTAAACTGAATTTTTTATTTTATTCAACAGGCATGTTGAAAAGTAGCTGCAAAAAGGCCCTTATAACTGTTGGAATAGCCTCATAACTCCAACTTCTTACTTAGCATTCTCTAGAATAGTGCAACAACCTAGGCGTTTAACAAATCACGTTATTGTAATGTTCATATGTTTATCTAGAAACATTGATAAAAAAAGGATTGCGTGATGGCATAACTCTTTTCCACCGAAATTTTCGGTTACGTTTATGTTTTATCCCTAAGTATGACTTGAACCTGTGCAATCACAGGCGCAAATAAAAATTTCATGCAGCAAATAATTATGAATTATTTAATTATATATGCATAAAAAGCGGCCAGTTTAATATATTTTGTTGTTGGATAATTTTGTGCCGTTTTTTTT